CTGGAGCTGTGTCCGGCATCACAACTGCATTGCTTTAGGTTCTTTGGGCCTCTAGTGAAGCTGTGGTAGTCTCTCTTTGTCACTGACGTCATCTCTTTGCATTCTGAGTGCCTTGGGCATGAGTTACTAGAAAATTCTGGAGCACCCCTGGGTGATATTTGGGGTTTCTGCCCCATTGAGCGCCAACCCACTGGATGGCAATGAGTGTGACGAAGGTGCTGAGGCTGTCGACATCCCCTCTGCATCATTTCTGGATCGTACGGGTCGCCAGCAGAGTGATATCATTGCTTTACTAAATTTTTGATGAGCCCCATTTATTGGCGACCCGAACAAACCGTAACCCAAAGACTCACCCTAACCCTAAACCTACCATAAAACTGAGGTTAGGGCATAATGTTCACGTGATTTGGTGCAATCAGTCACCGGTTTGGTGCAGGCAGTTATATTGTTTCAAGCTAAAGCCTAGTGTACAGGGCTCCACCAAAATGAGGCACCCGGTCCACAATTTGACCAGGAAAATTAGCCACAAATGAAGCAATGACACAAAGACCCTTTACCATCTCAGAGGGGCGCGAACATGGGTGTCAGGGAGTCTCTCTTGCCTCCCCACTGTCCTTAAAGGAGAGTAACATAAAGTTTATGTTTGTTGGCCAAAGGCAAGCTCAATTGGTCAATTACCAGTAGGACACCGAAATTTAGTGCAATATTTTGGAATCCAAAAAAGAAACTGGCTGACAGCGCCACGGGGCATGAAAATAGTCGCTCTGTCTGATCCGTGAAGTCCCCTTTTTGTTTCGAACACCCTCAACCCTAAAACCACCGATCCCCTGACGGGCGTTGGCCTTGTCAGCGGAAGAAGGATCTTCACGGAAAAGACATACGGACTCATACATTCTCGCGCCACGGCCAGCATGACTGATGCAGCCCGTGGTGTCCCATCCCACTGAGCGCAAAGTCCGTCACCCGCATCCCACCGCCCTCGACTCCCCAAAACACCTGAGCTCCCCGTCAAGCCCACACACGCCCGCCCCAGCCGCCCCCCGGCCCAGTTTCTGTCACGCTCTGCGCCTTATAGGCACGGCGCGAGGTACCATCGCATCATCTCTCTCCGGGCCTTGGCGAGCATCGGAGCCACTCGGGGGCGGAGGCACCCGGCGGGGAGGCAGTCGGCTTGGCCGGGGCCCAGGTGGGTGCATGAAGATCCCGATGCTCAGATGGGCGCGTCCAAAACCGGCGGCCTGTGCGGCGATTCGAGTTTGGCTAAATTCTTCCTTCGCCGTGCTGCGCGCCGATCGCGGCATCTCTTTTTGAGGCAAGGGATTCAGGCGGAGGTCCGGGGTCCCGGGGAAAATGGGGGGATACATCTGCGGGCGAGCGACCTTGGCAGTCGTCCCTGGCGCGAGAGGTGCCGAGGTTGCGCACATTGGGGCCGACCGAGCGGGGAGAGCGCCCCATCCTCTCTACGCTGCACGATTTTCTCGCATCGCTGGATCCCTGCCCTCCCACCCTCGCCCCGCCCCGCCCCGCTCACTTGCCCCTCGCGCTGCCTGTGTCGTGCGCTCCTCTTGCTGCACACGAAACTTCACATCATCTTCTCGCAGTGCGGAAAGGGGTCTCGCGCGCACCTGCCAGGACGGGTTGCCCTTTGTACGCCCCGTCTTTCTCTTTGCAACACGTCTTGCCCTTCCCCACACACCCGCTCTACCAATGCCTCGGCGACGCAGGCCCCGATAAAAATTGCGACCGGACTGCATCCCGCTCTCTGGCAGCGGCTGGCGACCTTCCCGGCCCGTTTTTGGCGCCACCCGCTCGGTCGCTGCCCCGCCCGGCTCTGCGGCGAGCCATTCCCGACGCGTGGCGCCGATTTTGAAAAATCGCCACGCGTGTTGGCGCGAGTCGGCGAGGCTCGCCGAAGCTTTGACAATCCATCGGCTGGATTCACATCGCTTGGTGCTTTTGTCGGCTGGTTTTCCGGTCGCGGATGATCGGATGGACGTGCATGTGAGGCGCGAGGGTTTGTTGGGAGGAGATTCCCGCTTCAGGGAAGCGGGAGAGTTGACAGAGCCGGCATACTGGGCTGACCTTTGCGGTAACTCGGCGCGCTGGCAGTTGTCTGCGAGGTGCTGCGCTGTAGGTCGCAATCGATCCAGGGCCAAGGGCCCTGCACAGGGCTCCAGTAAGCACCAAGGAATGGCCAGTCGCGCTGAACTGGCTCACGCCCCAATGTCGGAAACATTCTCGGGGGCCCAGCCACATTGCAACCGGCTTCGCAAGCGCAGACTCTTGAAGCGCTCTTCTACAGCATGGATTTGTGTTGAAGTGGCTTTCCATGAGCTCTTCTGCACCTTGAATGGGGGACACGCAGGACAAAAGTTGGGCCCGAGTGCTGCATGAAGGTTGCAGTGGCGCGTGCGTGCGACATGGGGCACAGGCACAAGTGGCATAGACGTGCACACGGGCATGGACATGGGCAAATGCATTATGAATCCAGTTGATTCAACCCGCCTCCTTGGCATGTGGTATAAACTCAACCAGTCCGTCCATTCCCCATAGACATCGGCACAGGCACAAAAATGGGATGCAATCACAGCCGACATGGACAGGTGTTTGGTTGGCTAGCCACCTATTGCACTTGTTTGCATTTTCCCTGGTTTGATTGATCACCCAGCAGCCAATTTTGTGCTGCTTTGGGAGATTTTGGCAGTTTATGCCGCGATCTTGTGTGTTGGAGAGTCCCACAGCCCTCAACTGATGATAGCTGTCTCATTATATCCCCAGCGGACAGCCACTGCCTGTTGAAATGCAAGGCGATATTGGACAAATCTTTTGATATCCATTGCAGGACGATTCCTGTTGTTAATCGGATTTATATTGTTCAGCAGATCAATATAATGGAGTTTCTGCATGACAATGTCATGTCTGCATCCCATGACAATGGCACAAATATTTATGGCGTCAGTGAATTTTGCTGCCAGTCAGCCTGCTCATAGCAGGATGCAATAGCCCCAGATTGTGACCTCACAGCTATCTCAACCCGATCCCGATTTCAATCTATGAGGATGGTCCCATTTGCTGATTTTCAGGCCACACCGCTTCCAAGCAGCCTCCTGTACTTTAGAGCAAGGTGACAAGAGATTAGCCACAGTGGATGTGTTAATTGCAGGCAAAATTGTCTGTGATACATAGCCCTTCACAAGACACAGCGAACGCCTTGCCTTTTGCAGGCGATGGCGATCGCAAATGTATCCAAAACATCTGTCCATTGGAGACTTGCAATATCGCAGAGTGATTCCCCCGCCATCCATGCACATGTCGGGGCAGGTATGGTCATCACTAACAGGACTCCTGTCACCGTTGCCCTCAATTGTAAGAGACCGTTGATCTACCATCCCTCATAATGAGTGTTGCCACCACCAGTAATGAGACAACATAAATGACCCCAGCATACGAGCATATAATGTGACCATGCATACTTGATAGTAGAGCACGCAGCAAAATTATACCATGCATATTGTGAAGCCTCGTTTGGAAATGGGATGCAGCATTCCAGGGGAAACAGTGTCAATCGATTTGCAATATGCCAATGGGTACATCCATGCTGAATTTCTTGTCAATGCTGTTGTGCAGAACAGGCATGCAGCCTGACCAGGGACTGCATCGCAGATCTGGATGAAGAGAGCTAGAAGCCCAGATGATCATACTATGAACAACGGACACACCATCACCCTGGAGGGGGACACGTGCAAGGTGAGGCTCTAGAAGCTGCAGTGGCCTCTGTCAGCTTTGCTGAAAATACTGTTTAGTGGTCTGCCTTGGGGAGGCATGCTGTTATGGTAGTTACAAGAGAGTGAGGGAGTTATAGGATGCAACGAAGTTGTGATACTGAGAACAATTGCTGAAGCACTGCACAGGCTGGGCTGCAGGATTCTGGACAAATGGGTGAGGTCAACTGCATGTGACATTGTCTTGAAACAAGTGTCTTGGGAAACTATCTTGGGATCCTGGGGATCTGTAGTTAGGATGTCTAGGGACGCATATCTTGGGCGATCACCACTGCCTCAAGTGGGTGCATGGATACTGCTTTGCCCCATGAAAGTGTGAGTATTCTTTATAGTAGACTTGCATGTCTGTCCCATCTGTTCAACCACGTTCTTAAGGTGCAGGGCATAGGCGGTCAAAGATGTTGCCACAAATGAATCCCAAATGCGTGCACAGTGCAGGGTCAGTCAGACACTGCCAGATCCTCTTTTTGCCATCCCAGATATGTTGAATGGACTGTCAGGCTGCCCGCGGGGCACCAGTGCCATGTGTTGTCACTGAATGCAAAAGTGACCTGATGAACAAACAGTGGGTGTGAATTTTGTGTGCTAATGGAGATGGCGCTATTGTGTGGATTTGTTTGGACACCCACAAGAATGAAACTTGGCAACAACAAATGAGCGAGAGCCACACGTGTTTCATTTAAATGGGAGTTGGACTCTTGAATGCGATATAGTATTGTGGAATCGAAAGGTAAAAGTGGGTAAAAAGGGTTGGGGTGGGGTTCCCTGTTCTTGTCGTTGATTTTCATGGTGTGCATCAGCAGCTCACACAGTTCTTTTCTGCAAAGAACTGCTAGCTGGCACATGTCACGTGGAAATCACGATCTTGTTGCCTATCAACTCTTGCAATGTGGTTGGTGGCCAGCAATCCATGAGAGATCGACAGGCAGTGATAGGCAGTCGCCTGTGATCGTCTCACATAGTTAATGGGGCAGGGTTAGCGATGTGCCTCTGATCTGGTCATTTAGGATACGCGCGACAGAGAAGTGCTTATCAAGGTCGTTTACTGCATTCGTTGGAATCGCCTGACAAGCAAAAGCCTTGCACCGCGAAGTCAATGATGGGCACAGCAGCTACCAACTTGCAAGTATGTGAATTGTCTGGACAATCACAGATCCATACACCATTCATTTTCTCCAAGGGCAACGGGTACCCAGCACAATCTCTGCACTTTAAGTGATGTGGTCAGTGAGCTCTCCATTCCCCTGCAAGGTTCCCAAGACTAGTTCCGAACAAAACCCCTCAGGCGCGAAGGACGTTGGAATCAATGGCAACAGCAAGCAGCATGCGAATGGGGGAGCTGAGGGTGGGGCGCCACTGCAGCCCATGACTGTGAATGAAGGCCCAGCCCGCCACCAGGATGTGGCTCAGCCATCTGCAAAGGAGATTGCTGCTGCCAAGGCTGCACGCATACGGCTGGGACTAGAGAAAGATGATGGGACGCTGGTGGGTGGCATGTGTTCTGCTGTGTCTCACAAAATGCACTCATAATACTTAGGCTTCATGTGTATTTTGCAAGGGATGTGTGAAGTTCGTTCCTGGAATTTGTTTTCACCTTGAGATTTGCATCACCTTCTCTTCAGTCGTGATATGTTTGGCAAGCTACTTAAGAAATCAATGGAAATTGATTCTATTGTGTGTAAGTTGGGTTCAGCCATTCCTAACGTTTAGCTGCCCCCAGGCGCAGCCTGTTGAAGTCAGCCCCAAGCTGCCCTCTGGTGTTGAGCGAAAGGTGGACATCGAGTATGTGGCCACTGCTGACCTGCAGCCATTGGCCGATTCGAGAAAGGCTGCTGAGGTAGGCTGGTTCCAATCAGATGGGCCGAAACTGTTCCTGGCGATCAAGCTGCCTACACTTTGCTGATAACTGACCAAGTGGTGGAAACTGCAGTAAATCAGGTGGCACAGTAGCCTGTGTGCCCATACCCCATCCCCAAGCCACTGCCACAGCTGACAAGCTTACAGTGGCAGCAGAATGCACACAGCAGTGATGCTGGCTTAGTGTTCATCTTTGGTTTGGTCCATTGCTTGTGTTTCTCTGTGTGATAGGGAAGATGGGGCTTATAATGGGCTCAGAGTGGGCAGATGGGTCAGCGGATCAAACAAACTTTTGTAAACATTTATGGTTGTAGATGTTTGAAAGAGCTGCACTGTGTTTTATTGTGTTCATAGATGAAACACACCTTAGTGTGGATTTGTGGTGGTAGATATTTGAAACAACTACACAACAGCTCTGCACACTGTTGAAAGTTGCTGCAATGGCATTGGTTGAATGCCACCAGAAAGATGTCACTTTGGCAAGTCGAGTCCCAGCAATATGAAGAAGGCACACATGGTTAAAGGTGGCACACTTTGCTGATATGAGGTAGCGAGTGGAAGAACAAACTTTCTACAAGCAGCATTGTGGATGGTGTGACCATTTGTTGCCTTTGCAGGTGAAAGTGCATTTCTGTCACCTTGTCACAGATGCAAAGGAACAGCAATCAGTCACTCTGCTTGTACTTTGCTCACTGTTGCCTCATGCATTCACATATTTTTATGATTTGTGTGTGTACCTTGTTAGGTTGTCAGCCTGTGAAATGTGGTGACTCATAAAGTCAGTCAAGTCATCAGAACAAGACACATTGTCAACTCCTGCCCCAAATCTTTCAGTTTTTCCTTTGTTATTCAATTCACAATTAAAGTGCCCTATCAAAAGTGAGGAACACTGGTAGCTGTCTCAGTACAAACTTGACATCAACACTATCAGTTCTTGCTGGCACCTTGTGGTCATTACACTGCTGCAGCAGCTGATCAGCCTGCAGCAGCATCTGGTAGGCTGGTGCAGTGGCATGGGTTTTTGTTTTGAACATGGGCG